TTTTACAGTAGCCCTTACCGCAATTTCATTTTACAGTATGATGGCCTTTCTGCAATTTCATTTTACAGTACTATATCCTTATATCCTTACTGTAACTTAGTTTTACAGTATAATAATATTACAGTAATTTTACTGTAATTTATTTTACACTATTTATTTTATAAAACCTTAGATGAATCCCATTGAATTTAATAAATTCCAAATAAGTGACCTGATCCATGTACAACAGTATATTTTTTATTCACTGTCACTATTAAATACATCCATTACTTACTTATTTATTGTGCTTTATTCTGGAACATTACAAAAAAATAAATAAATAGAGAACTGGATTCATAACAACAAATCAAAGCAGAGATCATGACAATATTGCAACAAAAAGAAATATGGCAACAAGCATCCTAGTTGGTTGGTGCTGCATGGCCTCCATAACCACTGACAGCTGATCTGAAACAAAACAGAGGGGAAATGTGTGAGAAATGGTCATGAGTTTATCTCATCTAAATTTGTTCATGGACAGACAAGGTAACAACTCTTTCTTGAATTAATTGATTATAATTTTACTTGAATATATTTTTTTCCCTCTGGTATATGCACTGGCGCGCGACATATAGGCCTAGCCTATAACTAACAGTAAAAAAGTCAAAAAATAATTGTTCGTGTAAATACTACACATCTATACTGGGAAAACTGGCAGCTGACGTCTGGCAATTCACTCAGAGGGGAAGTCCGTTATGCGCGCACCCGACACAAGCCTCAGTGTCACACTCGGGACAAGGAGGCAAACAGGCAGAGTATTTCAAAGGATTAGTGTTTATTTAACACAACGGAGAAAATGCTTCCAACAGAAAGGAATCAACTTAGAATAACTGGAAGCTGAGAACACAAGCTTATCTAGGGTCGAATACAAGTTCCTTGGTCGAGAGCAGAAGAATCCTAGGCTTTAGGCAGGCAGGCAGGAGAGGAACCCGAGTTGAGATGCTTGTAACCTCGAGACCAGCCGATGAGTGACTGAGGTGAGTGTGTATTTGACTGGTGTGGTAAGTGGGTGCAGGTGTCCGTGATTAGTAATCGGGTGATTGTGAGCGGGTGTAGGAGGCTGATTCGGCTGGTGAGGCAGGTGTTTCCGTGACACTCAGTTTATATAACCTCTGCCAGGTTGTTGCGCAGGCTTTGAGCGCGAATAAAATTTAAATTTTGTGGGGTGTAAGCAAAGTTTATATATTTTATTTTTTAATCATTTTAAAAATGCATTTATTTCACCACACTTGTGCTTACCCAGACATTATATTGAGAATGCAGATTCATGTTTTTCATCTGCAGAACAATTTACAGTAGCACTACTGCTTTTGAGCAAACAGTAAAGTACCGCAAATTCCCATATACAGTAAATTACTGTAAATGGCATTAAAATACCCATAATTCAGTGCATATTACAGTAGTTAACCGTAAAACATATATATGGTAGTTTACTGGGCTTTTTTGCGGTAAGTAACTGTAAAATTACAGCAAAGTCTAACAGTGTGGCTCACTTTCTTTTCTCTTTTCCCACTTTTCTGCAGTCCGCACCAGTTTTATAGTGCTGCCTCTTCATTTTCAAACATTAACACACGTGACTGAATCTTTATCAAAGTCATTATTACCGAGCATTACTGGCTGAACCCTGACTGGGGGGCCCCTGGTGGCCACGGGACCCTATGCAACTGCTTACATCACTTATTAGGTCGGGCCGGCTCTGGTCGATAGTGTCAAACGCAGCGCTAAGATCCAGTAGCACTAATAGAGAAATACAACCACGATCAGATGATAAGAGCAGGTCATTTGTAACTCTGATGAGAGCAGAGTTAACAAATAAGGTAAAATGTTGTTTTTTTTTTATTTCCTTTAATCATGTCTTTTGTTGCACAAATAAACCAGGAAAGCCACTGATGCTCGCTCAAAAACAACCCAACTTAAACAATCCAGCTTTTTTCTGGTATCAAAAAATTGTGCCCTTATAACCCTGGGACATAGTTAAATAGAGCATAATATTAGCTTTCAAAGTTATTGCATGTAATTAATTAAATATATTTAATGCTGTTTGATGCATTTCATTTGGCCCTGCCCTGACAACAAAGCAAAGTTTCTGGGTGTTGTGATGTGCCACAAAGACCCCGGTGAGGAGTGGACGACGTCCTGCAGTGAGGGTGTGTTCAGTGATTTTACTTCCTGATGGACTCTTACTCAATGAAGGACTGGCATTCAGTAATAGAGATCCCAAATGACCTGAAGATCTTCTTATAGGCCTTCTAGAAATCTGGGCATGCCTTGAACTGTAATGAACTTTCTTAATCTTGTATAGTGTTTCAAACATGCTAAGCAAACTAGTTACCTACACACAGATGGAACTACATATCACAGCAATACCAATATTACAAAAATCAGTAGTATATATATGAGTGTATTGATTTAGCCATGGCTAGCCTCTGAGGTGTTTGCGTGTAAGGATCACTGTACTGTCGCTAGCCTCACACTGTTGAATAGAAGGAAACGGCGGTCAGTGACTTTTCCTTCCCTTGAAAGAGAATTTCCTCCTGAGCGCTCAAACTCTCATTTGAGTTCAGAGAAACCTACAAACCAGTAACATGGACATGCTCTTTCTCGTCTTATTAACACTGGAGCGTTTTTATGCATTAAGTGAGTATTAATATTATGATTATTTACTGCCTTTCCTATCTTGTTGAATTGTTGGTTAGGGACGATCTGAGCAAAAACCTGAGTTATATGAACTGTTATTGGAACTATAGCAGGTTCGCTGAACTGATCAAATATGTATTCATAACCATTCAGAATACATTTTATTAATACCATTATCAGTATATGCATTCATAAGATTAATAACAGGATTAAATTCATTGTTATTATGTATATTACAAATGTTCATGTTTTTTTTATTTTGGATGTTTTGTTATATTATTTTATTGAGTGTTCATTACTGATCCATTTAGCATTATATAATGTATGTTAATAACGGTGTATATTATAATGTATGATAAATGGTTATTTTAAACTTTCACTTTCAACACAAAGAAGCTTCATCTATCAGTCCTTTTAACATTGATTATAAAACTTTCACTTTCACTGATTAATACAAATAGCTAACACTAATTGTCATTTGCGAGCTTTTTTGGCTGTGTTATTTTGTGAGTGTGTATCAGTGAGGCGACTTATCTTGCATCGAGACGAGACCATGTGCCTCCCTGAAGACTTTCTGACTTCTACTGTGGCCTGCGATCCTTCAGATGCTGCAAAACAGATTGTATTGGTTTTCACTCACTCATTTCTAATGTGTCTGAAAAAATCCAGAAACGAGTTACAGCTTTCTCCACCCATACATCAGGTCCTATATTGGCTGTTGAAGTGAAGTGTGAAATTATCATGAGTGGAGTTTATGAAAAGACTTTCTCACCTTAGACTTTCTTTACCATAAAGTGGCCAAAAGTCTTGCTTCAAAATAAAGAAACTATCTTCGCAAGTCCAAAGAAACCATGACAATCCTACTCAGTGTTCTTATTCAGAGATATTGATTGTAATGTCTGATCTGTATGTTATTATTGTTAATAACGGTGTATATTATAAAGTATGATAAATGGTTATTTTAAACTTTCACTTTCAACACAAAGAAGCTTCATCTATCAGTCCTTTTAACATTGATTATAAAACTGATTTCACTGATTAATACAAATAGCTAACACTAATTGTCATTTGCGAGCTTTTTTGGCTGTGTTATTTTGTGAGTGTGTATCAGTGAGGCGACAAACTTATCTTGCATCGAGACGAGACCATGTGCCTCCCTGAAGACTTTCTGACTTCTACTGTGGCCTGCGATCCTTCAGATGCTGCAAAACAGATTGTATTGGTTTTCACTCACTCATTTCTAATGTGTCTGAAAAAATCCAGAAACGAGTTACAGCTTTCTCCACCCATACATCAGGTCCTATATTGGCTGTTGAAGTGAAGTGTGAAATTATCATGAGTGGAGTTTATGAAAAGACTTTCTCACCTTAGACTTTCTTTACCATAAAGTGGCCAAAAGTCTTGCTTCAAAATAAAGAAACTATCTTCGCAAGTCCAAAGAAACCATGACAATCCTACTCAGTGTTCTTATTCAGAGATATTGATTGTAATGTCTGATCTGTATGTTATTATCAGATTACTCTGATCATCAAACTAACCCGTGCAAACAACTATTTCTTTTCCGCTAGGTGGTTTTCTGATCGCACACACTAATAAAGGGGTATGTCTGAGCACACACAAGAGTATGGTGGTCCTGAGGAAGTGTGATGAGAGTGACCCGTCTCAGCAGTGGATCTGGACCAGCAGCATGAGACTCAATCACACACTTATGTCCAGATGTCTGTGGGTCAATCAGAGCACCAACATCCCGCACCACACTCGCCTGGTCAAACTCAGGGACTGCGATACTGCACCGGCATGGAAGTGCTACAACCACCGAGGGATCTTTGGATTGGCAGAGATGCCGATGTTCCTGAAAAAACAGGGTGAACGGGCTGTTGTCTGCTTTGAGCAAAGGAATTCAAACTGGTCCATGATCACGATGGACTCTGAGGGGAGACCGGTGTCCAAGTCTCTCTGCCCTGCCACAGGTCAGCTGACTGTCTAGCCATCACATAAATGTCCACTTACATCTGTCTTGGCAATTAGCCTTTGGGTTGATTTGATTGGCATTAGTGAATAGGCCTACAATATAATACAGTACAGTATTAGACTACGATATGTATGCTTATCTATCATGATTTAAAACATTAGTAGAAAAATATGTCTCAAACATGTAGTCTAATTGGTCTAATACTTAGACCAAAATATCAATGTACAAAGAAACATATTTGAATGTTATGCAATCATTTCAAATTACTGTAGCTAGTTACAGTAAGTAACATGGCTTGTGATGTCAGGATCATTTATGAAACTTTGGTCTTAACTACAAATCATCAATAAGCGATCAAGTTGAATCGACTGAGCACAGGTGCATTACGGGCTTCAAGGAGTGATGCATCATTGAGGTTACAGTACCTTAATGAACGCACAATATACAGTACAAGTATTATAATCTATGTATTTATGCTGTTATTCATATTATTAAACCACATCTAGTTTTCAACAAGTTCATAGGGAAAAATGTGCCTCTCCCTACATTTTTGCAAAACTGTGTACATACAATTCACTGCTTTGCATTTGTGGCAGTAAAACACCAACAGCTTTGTTGGAGCCACTTTTAGCATCACTTACTGGACATGTCACTTTGAAAGTGTTGTGAAACATGCAAGAAGCAACATAACATTATTTTGTAGAACTGTTGTGACTTCCTTGTTGTCCAGGTGAGCCTGGGTTGCCAGTTTTGCACCATTATAAAGCACTCATGATAAAAAAGCCATCTAAAAAATGCACAACAGTTTATTTTCGAAATGCACTTGCAGTGAAAACACATCATGCTGCATAAAGGTAACATCAGTCTTTTTTTTCAACAGGCCCGTCCACAGTTTCAACAATGACACAGTTTCCAATGAAACAGGTTTCCGTTTTTTCCACAGGGGAAATGACCACGCTAACAGTCCCTGCCATTATTCAAAGCAGAGCGGTGACCCACCACAGTAACACAGTCAGAAGCAGAACTAAACGCACTGCTACCACTGCTCTTGGTGATCTGATAACATTTACTGCCAAAACAGACTTTAAGGAGAACTACACTCAAACGCTTGAGACAGAATCACCCTACGAGATGAGTGATGTTACAGATGTGTCCTCCACCGCTTTGATGGTAACGGGAACTCCTCATGTACCTCAGAATTTCACCCAGAATAGAGTTGACATGACAGAGATGACCTCAGATGTTATGGAGCAGACCCATTACCCTCTGACTTCTCAGACAGAGTTAACTATCTCCACAACAGACGCTGAGCCTTCAGGTTCTTCTAATGTGAGCACTGAAACTCAGACCACTTTAGACTTTCATACAGGACCGTCTGAAGCTAACAGCAGTGATGTAGATCCTACACTGACTGAGAGTTCAACCAGTAGTGTCCCAGTGTCAAACACAGATGGGGCATGGACAAATGCCACAACCAAAAGCTCAACCACGACAAAGATCATCAAAGATGTTCAGACTATGTTGCCATTTAAAACCAGAACGACCCGAGCAATTACTGAAGTGCTTCCTAATACAGATACTAGAGCTACTCCAAATACAGCCACCAGTTCTGCTAAAACTAGAGCAAGTGCAACAACCACCCTTACAGCCCCGTACACATCTACACCTGCCCCGGACACAGACGCGTTCACATCAGCTACTTACACAACTACTGTGGCTCCAGCTACAACTGTAGAAACAACCACAACCACCATCACCACCACTGCTGCTCCGAGCACAAGAACCTCGCCTCCACCATCTACCGTCACTCCTACCATTGCTTCCACAGCAAAGGTGAGCAATCAAATGGTACCTATATTCTCACAGATTTGAAGTTTTGCTATGATATATCTGCTTACAGTCTTGTCTAATGCTGTCAAGAATTTCTGCAAATGCAACAGCTAACATGATTCAGACAAATTCAGTAAAGCAAGTTTTCAGGTAGTTTTGACATTTGGAAAATCAGCAAATGCACCATCAAAGGACAAGGTACAAACGTTCTGATGTCTACTTTGCTACCAAATGTTGGCCACAAAATGTACAAGCTCTAATTTGGATGGCTGGTTACTACATAACTTCAGTAGAAACCCTTGAGATTGTCTCGTACCTGTAAGAAACTGCAGGACAATTAGTGCTGCCGTTCACACGAGTCACGTCAGTGCACCTCTCAACATGTTTACATTTACATTTATGCTTTTGGCTGGCACTTTTATCCCAAGTGACTTACATTGCATTCATTTGCACTTTATCAGTTCATGCATTCCCTGGGACTCGAACACATGGCCTTGGCATTGCATCACCATGCTGCACTGTTTAAACCACACCACTAATATTAAGAAATTACAGTGAACACATAACATCAGCCGCTCAGTCTCAATTTAGAAATAGGCCATTTATGACAAATACTTGGGGCTTTGCAAACATTTGACATAAATCATTGCCATTTGACATTTTGTCTTAAGGAAATTAGTTGATTTTTATACTACTGGTCAATATCAGTTCCTCTTTAACTTTCTGTTGTATATTTCTTGTTTGTAGTTTACAACGACGGAGGCTGTCAGGTGTCTGGTGAATGTGACTGCAGAGAGTATTAATATGGATTATTGTGTGTTTAATTTCACAACACCTGGAAAATCCTGTAGCTTCATTATGAATGATACTTCTCACTTCACAAGATGTTCTGAAGATATCAAGCGTCCCAACCATTATACATGCCTGATGATGGGTTTGACTCCCGGTGCTACCTATTTGTTTGGAATAATGTCTGAGATAGATGGCATACACTTAAACGTTACAGTTCAAACTGGTAAGTCCTCTTACATTTCTTCATAGCTTTAGTTTTCTGAATCTGAACCCTTGAACAGAAGTGTCATGAACCAGAGGAGGGCTCTCGTGTTCTCTATTTAAATAGAGAATATTTTACACAATAGCATGCAGTGATTTATGGTTGCTTTGTACCATTCTTCTTGTTCACATTGATATGGTGGAACACATTGTTCTGACAGATTTGATAAAGCACCTGCATTCACACAGATTCCAGAGGATGTATCTGTGAACGGCTGTAGGCATGCTGTATATAAGTGTTTTTCACTGAAGTCTTGGCAGCCGCGCTGAACACTGTGTTCATAAGAGCCATCACTGACCCTCTCTGACTCTCATTTCCTTATCATGGGCATCTTTGGGCTGTAAAGATGAATTAACTTTTTTTCTCTTCTGTCAGACTTATGTCAGACTTATATTATTATGCTTAAACTTTTTTGCTAATGTTACATGTTACTCAAAAAAGTAATTAATTGCTAGTGGTTTCTAAATCCTCCAAGCAGAATTCCTTTAGCTGTGTTTATTGGAGGGGTTTCTTTCATGTACAGCCCACTTCAAGTCCCCCCGATACACAGCATTTCAACCTGATAGAGATCTGGACTTTGACTTGGCCATTCCAGAACCCTTAATTACTTTCTTCTAGATCATTGCTCTATGGATCTGCTGGTTCATCTTACATTTTTTCCTGATGCCGTCACGTTCTCCTCAGGCATCTTTTTGTATGATATGAAATTCTTAGTTGACTTTATGATGGGAACCACTGTAGTGTTTGGCTTTTGCCAAACATGATGTTTGGAACTGTGGGCAAACGACTCAACCTTTGACTCATTTGTCCAGGACACATTGTTCCAGAATTCCTGTTCCACATGTAGGAAAACTTCAGTCATGCCTTGACTTTCTTTTTCAAGACCAGAAGCTTCTTCCTTGCTGTCCTCCCTTGTAGACCCAATTTGTGGAGTTTTTAATGGTTGACTGGTGCACGTTCACGTTGACTGTTGCTAGAGCTGCCTACAGATCCCTCAATGACACCCCGAGGCTCTTGGAAGGAATCTTGATGGGATGAGCCCCATTATCACTGACCTGAAACCATGGAAAAGACTTTCTTCTGAGACATTCCAGCAGATTTTTGGAGATCTTCGAAATCTTGGCATGATGGTACCATGTACTTCAAAGCTTATGACCAAACTAGCCCAATTTATTGAGGTTTATATAATGTGTGGCCCTCCTCGTTATTGATTTTTAACTTATTGCACTTGTTGCATTAATTGCAAATTAGCTCTATGAAGCATTTTAAAACCTGTGGATATACTGAATGTTTTATACATGCTGAGTTACTGTAGTTTTTCGGTAATGCTTTAGATTGCAGCCAGCAATTTACAGCGTTAGTAAACCGAATTTACAGCATACTTTTTCGTAATAATAGTGTACCTGTACAGTGCGTACATGTAGGTCTACGGTAACAATATGCAAAGTTTGGGGAATAAAAGTGTAACAACATGTAAAATTACAAATGATTAAGTATTTTGAAATTAAGGGGTACCTATTCTAATATTACGTGGTATGTATGACTTACTATGCTAAACAACAATCTTACGTCTGGGAGCAATTTAGCAAGAACATACACTTTTTGTGATAATACATTGGCATTATATTATACATACAGGCCTAGGTGTTTATAACCACATATTCTATTAGTACAGGATACATGATGGAGATTACTAAACAACAAAACTGGAAATCTAGGGAAATTAGTTAATGAGTTTCTGCTTTGATTTATAATTTACCATATAGTCTACTTACCTTACAGAAGTATTGAGTCGATCTCAGCTACGGGTCAGGCCAGCAATCCCTCACTCTCCAACTTCCCAACACCACTATTACAAATTACATTCTTCTGATGTTCAGTTTGCATGACACTGTATACCATCAAGGTGCAATGCAGCTTAAAACAAGCTTACCTCTTTTCAGCTGTTCACAGAAAATAAAATACATGATACAGCACTTCTCAGTGTACTCACATCTCAGTGTATATATATACACTGTATAATTGATATGTTTTTTTATAGCAAAAAAGTAGAGGATTTAATTTGGTCATCAAACAAAATAAATTAAAACTATTGCAACATTTTTGCAACAACTCTGTAATTACTGTGCAAATATACCCTTGTTCTGTGTTTGTCTGAAGTGTTACCACCTTGTTCCATGTAGTTACTGGGTAAGTACAACAAATTGCTCCTAAACGATTGTTGTGTAGTACAGTAGGTAATACGTACATACATACCAGGTAATATCTCCATCATGCCAAGTTTTTCTAACCCAACATGGTAGGCTGTTTTATTTAACTCAAGTTTTGTTCGAAAATTACTATACTACTGGGTTTAAATGAACCAAGTGAGTTTTTAAATTAAAATCACACAGAATATGACAACCGTAACAACACAGGCAACAGGTAAAAATCAAAAGGCAAAAATTTATTACACCAGAAACTGACAAAAATATAACCATGTAAAGTGCAGAAAAAAACAACTCCATAGTTACATAGCTTATAGCTACATTTAAACCAAATTGCTTTTGAAAATTTTAATACTGAATAACTGATGTTTAAGTACAAAGTTGAGAAGTTATTTTGTTCATGTTTCCACTGACGAAAAAACGAACACTACGGCCAAACCATAATGACGGCATGAAACACACAGCCTAAAAGCCTGTAATAAACAGTGAAAGTCAGGAATAAACTGTGTATTTGATCAAATCGACAGTCTGTTTAAAGCGTTTTTATCCACTCTTCTCTAGCACCATTTCAGCTTGTTCAGTTACCGGAGTCGTACCGAAATCTGAAGGTGCGCGTTCACGACATATCGTAGTTACCGTGATTACCAGATACCAACTTGTAAAAAGCGTTCATGTCCTCGTAGAACTTGTAATTACAACTTGTTTTCTGAGCTACAGCTTGTACCACCTGACCACCTCAGATTCATTAGGCACTATGTTTATTGATAGTGCTATAGTTCTGAGTCCAAGGGTGTGAACAGCTCCAAGTAGAACGTCACGTGTTGTCTCGAAATCACATTGCGTAATTACAACATTGCGTGAATGCAGCATGACTCATAGATATGTATAGGTAGATTCCTCATTACCAACTGTTTCTATGGACCGCTATACGTAAGCCGTCCGCCATATTGGAATGTCAACGCCGGTCCGTGAATATCGGAGAGCAATGCCGGTGAATCTGCACTGCAACTGTAGTTATACGCATGTATGAATAATATATATCTTCAGTAGACTTCAGAACATGCTTTTGCTAAACTAACACAATACAACAAGATGAAGCCGTTAGCAAACAAGGCATTTGAAAGGTACTTTAGTTTAAAAACCTGTAATATTGAGTTAATAGATATTAAAAACACAAACCAACACATTCTTACCTGTGAAAGTTCATCCAGTTTCTTCAGGAATTTAAATTTAGGTCGTTTCTACAACCAGATGCTGCGCAATGTTGTTGCATCTGGAAACTCATTGATTTTTATTGTGAGTGACGACTTAAAGTGTGTTCAAGCCATATCGTAATTACCGTGATTACAAGGTACCAACTTGTAAAAAGTGTTCACATCCTTGTAGAACTCATAATTACAACTTGTGAACTGGGAATTTTCTGAGCTACGACTTGTACCACTACCACCTGACCACCTCAGATTCATTAGGCGCTATGTTTAGGCATTGATAGTGCGATAGTTTCAAGTCCAAGGGTGTGATCAGCTCCAAGTAGAATGTCACGCGTTGTCTCGAAATCACAGTAATTACGACATGGCGATGCAGTATTACGCTGTAAATTGTGGTCTGTAATCTGAAGCATAACCAGGTTTTTCAGACAGGGACAAAGGCTCAGGGTACAGGTTCATAAGTGGGGCAGGACCTTGGTGAAACTGGGTGGCGCTGAGTTCTGAGCCTCCCTTTCCTGTATCCTTTTCCTTGTATTTGCTCATTTTAAAGACTGTAACATATAGCTGAACCATACAATAACTGCAGTTCCCAACAATGACTACAGCATGAAATCAAGATAATCGTTTCTTTAATGTTTACTGTGTTATATGTAATATTGTTGCTGGGTTGGTGAGTGGTTCAGGGTCGTGTGGTATTAACATGGAGATCGTTGTTGCTGTGGTTTGTATGGTTAGGTTAAACCATCAGTGGAGAATCTCTCTACAGTATTGTCTGACAGAAAAATGTGTCTGGGAATGGCAATCAGTCCCATTTTGTTATCTAAATGAACATTGTATAAGTAAGCAACTAATTTTTTAAATGTTCTTTCACCAAACAGTTTGATAAGTCCTGCTTTAAAGCAGAGTGTGACAGTATGAGTTTAATCATCTCTGAGTTAATGTGAGCTCATTTTACACTGGTAAAGTCATCATGTTCCACAGGACACAGAAACACCTCTAACCAACAGCAGGTTTTACTCCTAACAAAAGGCCAACAGCTTTTTTATCGTTATTTCCAGGATATTTTCAGCTCGCCTCCTCCCTTCCTGCTTTACCAGACTACCCGCCTACATATCCTGTCTTTTACTGCCAGTTACCCATGATGCACACACACTTATGCATCATCACATACTCACTCTTCAGTTGAGTGTTTTCAGAAAACACTAATGTTGAGATTGTGAGATGATGGTGAATATATCACCACTGGCAACTGGGTTCATTCTGTCATTATTTAGTCACCTTCATGTCGTTCCAAACCTGTATCTTCGTTGTAAAATGTGAGTTTTTATTCCTTTATGTCACTAAATGTAATGAACTTCTAAACACAAAATGAATCTAATGTAAAAAGTTGAGTATATTTAATGACACGTTTGTCATTCCTGCAGCTCCTGCTCCCGTCACATCATTGACTCTCCAGAGCAACGGCAGTCAGGACTCTCTTAAAGCCGCCTGGATTCCTGCTGTCGGATACGTGGATTCCTACGAGCTCTCTCTGTCACCCTCCATCTCTTCAGAACGGGACCTTACCCTACCTCCAAATACAACTCATTGGGTTTTGAGAGGCTTGACACCTGGAAAAACTTATCAAGTTTTAGTGAAGACGAAGAGAGGAGAACTAACAGCTGAGACCAGGACAATAGGGAGAACAGGCAAGAACTATGACAAATCTTACATATTTGTACCTTATTTACCCCTAAATGCCAATTCACACCGCACCGAAAGACACAGGCCAACACTGACAGTACAGTATGCCACTTCTCAGACATTCCAAGACCCGACAAACACCAATTCAACATGTTCAAAAGGCAAAAACAAGCGCCGACTAATGTCAGCAGATACCGACAGGTGTATACCGATCAGACAAAATCTAACAAACATGCTTGCTGCTACTGTTTGTGTCTGTGCAGTGTGAATTGGCCTTAAATGGTACACATTAGTACCTTAAAGTTACATATTATATATTATTATCTAACGTGTACATACAAGTCAAGTCAAGTCACCTTTATTTGTATAGCGCTTTATACAATACTGGTTGTGTCAAAACAGCTTAACAGAGTCAAACAGGAAAATAATTTGTCAATAATACAAGAAGACAATAGCAGTCATTTTCCAGCTAAAGTCAGCTCATTCATGATTCAGTGATGTCATCATCCAGTTCAGCTCTCTTCCAGTAGTGTCTGTGCAATCAGTCAAGCGTCCCCAACTAAGCAAGCCAAAGGAACCAAAACTCCATCGGTGACAGAAATGGAGAAAAACCCTTTGGAGAAACCAGGCTCAGTCGGGGGCCAGTTCTCCTCTGGCCAGACCAAACCAGCATGGTGTGGTTTAATTCCAGGCTGCAACACAGGTCAGATTGTGCAGAGGACTCAACCTGTGTCTTGTCTTCCTGTGGTCTTGTCCCAGTGGCCGTCTAGGAGACAAGGTCCTCACTGGGGATCTGTCTCTGGGGCTCATCTAGTTGTCCTGATCTCCGCTGACATTCAGGGCTGTAGAGGTCCTCTCTAGGTGCTGATCCACCATCTGATCTGGATACAGACTGGATCTGGTGGCTACGGTGACCTCGAAATAAGAGAGAAACAGACTAATATTAGCATAGATGCCATTCTTCTAACGATGTAGCAAGTACATCGGGTGTTATGGGAAGTGTTCCCGGTTCCGGTTGTCCTAATTAATGCAGCCTAAAAATCCTTTAACGGATTTGAATATTAGAAATGTGTTAGTGTGTTATGTGTACGTACACATACAGTACATCGGGTGCTGAGTACATCGGGTGTTATGGGAAGTGTTCCCGGTTCCGGTTGTCCTAATTAATGCAGCCTAAAAATCCTTTAACGGATTTGAATATTAGAAATGTGTTAGAACCGGGCTAATATGGTCATATTTCCTGGTTCTAGTAAGAACTCTAGCTGCTGCATTTTGGACCAGCTGGAGTTTGTTTATTAAGCGTGCAGAACAACTACCCAATAAAGCATTACAATAATCTAACCTTGAGGTCATGAACGCATGAACTAACATTTCTGCATGACATTGAGGGCATACAGTATTAGTACCTTTTGAAAGGATACCACCCCAGTGACAGTTTTTACAAAAAAAATTTCTCAGAGTGTAGCGACTGGTAAGATCAGCTAATGATCATTAACGGAGAGCTTCATTTAACTAGAAACCATTTACAACCAGTTACGATTATAAAATAAATAGATACAGAATGACATATATGGGCCATTCTACAGAATTGGTTCAAAGTCAGAGTTGGAAATATTTTGAAAACAATGTCTTTTTTCTCAAATTTTGTATGTATGCAAATTGTACAATATCCAAGGTACACATTTCTAGTAATTGTGCAGTTAATTCTCATTTAGAATTTTCAGAAAGTTTTGGAATATTTTGCCTCTCCTCAAATTTGTCACTACTGCAAAACACAATAATATATAATTTAATATGAAGGTTTATATTGACATATTAAGATTTTGTTTACATCTAGCTTGCAAATATAATTTATGCTATTTTATTAAAACATTTTCAGAGGTAAATAAAAAACAATTACAATTTTAACAATATTTCAAGTGTCATTTATGAGATTTGTTGTATTTTGAATCCAATCTTTCTTTGTAAAAGGCAAAAAGTTGATCATACTGATTTCAAAGTTAAGGATTCATTAGTTTGAATATACATTGAACCAAACACTATCATATCATCTTAGTTGATAATTCAGTATACTTTATTTTTGACAAAACATTCCATGTTTCAGTCGTGACTGCACATTTTCGGTAGTGACTGTGATGTTTTGGTAGCGACCACATGACATTACAGAATTTTAACTCCCATACTAAAACACTACTAAACAATACTAAAATACTACAAATTTGCATAACTATACTAAAATTTTGTTTATTTTCCCCAAAATAAAAGATTATGTGTTCCCTTTTGTCTCTACCGAAACAATGATGACATGTTTCGTTCGTGACTGTTTCGGTAGTGACAATTTTAGATACTTTTGAACCCTAACTCAAAAATGCTAATCAGCACATGGCTACCTAGCAGTTCTGAACAGTTTTACACATATAAAAACTAAATGATTTGGAATAACACCCAAAAAAGTGTGCTTAATTGCAGAAAAAAAGGTGTTCGGTAGTGACGTTTCTTAAAGTTACACAGATTTTTCAGACTTTTGAACACATTTATCTCAAAATGATGGGACCTATCTACTCACCCTGTAGCTATGAGAGAGACACAGGAATAATTCCTGATCATAAATGTAGGGTTGTAGTTAAAATCAGTCTCAGCCAATGGACAAAAACATGCACTGTTTCGGTAGTGACATGAAAACATGGGACACATTTTTTTTTACATTAAGTTTCATAATTTAAAAGGAAAATATAAAATAAATATTTTTTTAACTTCACTTTAAAAAAAAACTAAATAAAAAAGATATTTTTAAAAACAAAAATGGAATACAATTCAAAAATTATTTCAATATCATTTTCATAAGTTGAAATTTAGGGGTTAGGGTTCTCCCAATTGAAATGACCCAATAAATAATGATTTAATAAATATTAAGCTTATTGTGTGTTTCAATAGATAATAGGATCTTAGGAAACATCTAAGATATGAGTACTTAAATGCTTTTTAAAAGTGTTTTTGGGTTGTGGGACAGCAGTTTTCACCAATTCTGTAGAATGGCCCATATATGTATTTGGATAACAGATGATTCGTTGCCTTGTCAACCGATGGTTCATCGATACAAATAACCTGGGATGTGTCTTTATGAGTTCTTGTTGTGTCTGTTGCTCATCAGCACCAGGATGGGCGGCTCATCTCAAGCTGGAGGCCCTTAATGAGAAGACCCTGCGCTTGTCCTGGTCTCCTCCTGATGGCGACTGGGATTTCTACCGTATCCTGCTGTTCAATGGCTCTTCTGTGCTGATGAACCGGACGGTTGAAAGGAATCTTGTGGAGTTCAGCTTCACTAACTGGACTCTGATTCCAGGCCGCCTGTACAGAGCTGCTGTGAGTGTGGAGAGCGGGTATCTGAGCTCAACCGCAGGCTGCCACGGGAGACTAGGTGTGTTACTGATCAACTCATCTACTGCCGTGAAACTTGCAACAGTAAAACAGAAACCAACATGAAGCGGCCTTCACAAAACACAAAGTGCCTGCTCTAGTGAAAAAGAAGTGTGCTTAAATTGTATTGCATGTGCACTTTTACTGTACTTCAGAGTTTTTTTAAACACTGTACTTGCAGATAAAATGATATTAACAATGAAAGGCCACTTAAGTGTACTTAATGTAACGAGAAACACTTACATGACTATGATTCTTAACACACTTAAGCACATTTTTAAACAGTGCACTTTGTATTCATGTCAAGTTAAAATGAGACTCACTGTCCAGCCTGCTTCAGCACAGCTGCTGGTGATTTTTAAGTGATCTCGAAGAGCTGGTTTAGCTGCTTCAGGTGTGTTTGATTAGAGTTGGAGCTGAGCTCTGCAGGACAGTGGGTCTCCAGGAGCAGGACTGAAGACCTCTGGTTTGTGCACAATAAGACCAGGGACAGGGGACACAAGAGGCAGGGTAAATTGTGAAATATAAACACAGTTCTCTGTTTTTCTGCACCTGTCCATCAGCTCCCCGGTCCGTTCAGAGGCTGAATGTCCGTCACAGTACAGAGACCTCGCTGAGTGCTGTATGGAGCCGTCCTGTCGGCGAGTGGGACAACTACACCGTCCTGCTGAAGGATGAAGACACGACTGTGGACACATGGGCATTAGTCCATGATGTGCAGGAATGCAACTTTAATAACCTGATGCCTGGACACACCTATACGATCACCGTGACGACCAATAGTGGAGAAGTTCGGAGTAGTTCGGCCCTCGTCACAGGAAGAACCAGTGAGTCATTCAGATGTCCAGTGATGTGCTGCTGAGATGGTGGAGCTGCTGGAATGACTAGAGTGTTAATTAACTTTACTTAAAAACAATGTCCTATAATATGTCTTTATGAATAATCTTGTGTGTGTGGTCAGTCCCTGCGCAGGTCACCCAGCTGCGGGTCAGTAATCAGGGCAGCACAGACGCTCTGCAGGTGCTCTGGGACGGGGCGGCCGGTGCGGTGGATCTGTACCGCGTGCTCCTCATCCACGACAGCGTGGTCATGAAGAATGAAAGTGTGCCGCCCAATGTCACCTCCTACCACTTCCAGGGCCTGAGATCCGGCGCTCTGTACAGGACAGTGGTGACCACAGTGCACAGGGGCGACCTCTCACGCCAGACGGTGGCTGATGGGCGCACAGGTAATAGACCAAAAACAGAACATGAGGTGCATGTTATAATACATACAGGGTATTTATTAAATAAGAGTAACAGATGAGAGTGAAGCTGGCATGCCAAAAAATGTCCTCATCCTCGGGCCATCCAAGATTAGGATGAGTTTGTTTCTTCATCATTTTTGGAGAAATGTAGCATTCCATCACTTGCTCATCAATGGATGCTTTGCAGTGAGTGGGGGCCGTCGTCCAAACAGCTGATTAAAACATCACAATAATCCACAAGTAATCCACAGCACTCATCAGTTAACGGCTTGAGAAGCCAAAAACTGCATGTTTGTAAGAAAAAAATCCATCATTTTAAACTTTAAATCGCTGCCTCCGGCTAAAATACGAGTCCATATTCCATAATAACGCTTCCTCCTGTGAAAAGTCCATCTGCTGTTGTCTCTCACATCAAAATCCACCAACATTTTTGTTTAGAGCTGATTTGTTTTGGACTTTTTGGCTTGTAAACGGTGCTTGATCTGTGCAGATTTCTCTCCTGATTCAATACACTTTTTCACTGGAGGAAGCGTTATTAGGGACTATGGACTTGTATTTTAGCAATGGTTTGAAGTTAATAACGTCTTGATGGATTTGTTTATTAAAAACATCCAGCTTTTCGCTTCAAATACGTTAATTGATTACTTGTCAATTACTTTTATCAGCTGTTTGAACTTAAGTGTCTTCAGAACTTTGTACAGTATTTTTATTTTATTTTTCCTTGAAAAAAAATTCTTAAGGCTGTGCTTATAAGATTAACATGCTGTTAAAAAACATGCAGTGGTCCCTGTGTAACCTGTTTAATCAGAATCGTTTCTTCAGATTTTCTTCTGTGTTCTTTAAGGATGACGCTGGACTTCACTCTTATCTGGAGTTGCAGGAATGCTCCTGGAATTTTCAGGAAGCCTTGAATATGTCAAGGTCATTTGTGCGACTTCCTGCAGGGAATGTTGTTGTGGAGGGAGGATGTTGTTCTGTTCTGAGTGAACAATCATGCTTTAACTCGCCATTTTATTGGTGTTAACATAGTAACAAGCAGCTTGTCTTCAGAGGCGCTCATCATTCATTTAGACACTGATACTCCTGAACATTACATTTCTAAATTATTCACAATATAGTTTATATTAAAAAATGTAAACACAAGACTTTTGACCAGTTTTGGGCCTTCCCTCCCCACAAATCTATTTCAGTGTATCAGTATCTCTGGGTTGTCTTGATAGCACAGCTCTCTTTAGGATTTGCCACAGCATCTCATTTGGCGTAAGGCCAGGACGCAGGAAAATTCACATTTTCTTCTTTTTCAGCCCTTCTTTAGTTGATTTACTGGTGTGCTTTGTGTCCCTGTTGCATTACCCAACCTCCCTAAAGCTTGAAGTCATGACATTCTCCTGTAAAATGTCTTGATACACTTTCATTCATTGTTCCTTCAATGAATGAAAGTGTCCAGGTCCTGACGGAGCAAAGCAGCATTTGTCTTGGGCAAACATAAAACAAGCAGTACTTTTTTGGCAGCAGTGGTTTCTTTATTTAAGCTCACCTGTGCGATCCACACTTCGAGTCTCATCTCCTTAATTGACTCTATTTATATTTTGGAGAAGTCGTAACACAGTTTCCTTTACTTCTTCCAGCCTGCTCTGTCAATGATCACCCAATTTCTTTAATACAGTTTTGAAAATACAACTATTTATTATTAGTTTAGTCAGATTATGTTTGTTTTTAATTGTGACTTACATGAAGATCAGACGGATACAGAAAGTCAGATATAATTAAATATGTAATTAAATTCCCAATTTTTGCTGTGATGACTGGAAGTATGAAAAAGTTCATCATCACCCAGCATTACTTCACAGTTTGTGATCCATAATGTGCACGAACAGCTGCTTTGAAACAGTCTCTATTGTTATCATAAAAATAAAGATGACTTGACATAAATATGAGGAGCATATGAAACCTTCCACATTTTCTGTTTGCTTCCCTTTCCCTTCGCCAAACAATATTTATTTATATGCAGTGATTGAAAACAATCAAACAAACAAATAGATCACTACCATCAATCATGATTCTATTTTTCTTTATTAAAGGTGACATATCATGAAAATCTGACTTTTCCAGGTTGTAAGTGCTATAATCAGGTCCCCGGTGCATCTACCAACCAAGGAAACGTGAAAAAGATTAACCCAGTAACTTTGTTTAGGTAAGTCTTTTTCTGCAAGCGTCTGAGAAAACGAGCGCGTTTGATTTTGCTCACTTGGTGACGTGGCAAAGGGATCTCATTATAATATATAATGCCCCGCCCCTTAATCTGCACGTTTCCACCCATGGCACCATCATTTTGATTTGCACGAAAAACAGCGTGTTTCTGCTTCCGCTCAAAATAGGCATTTTCAAAATGATATGAATTATCTGTGGGGTATTTTGAGCTGAAACTTCACAGACACATTTTGGGGACACCAGAGACTTATATTACATATTGTAAAAAGGGGCATAATATGTCTCCTTTAAACAGTGTGCTGTGCGCAGCTCTGTGTTTTATTTTGACAGCAGTTAAGGTTTGCAGAGGTGATGACAGGCACATGTCGTGTGTTGATCAGTTCCAGCCGCAGTGAGAGACGTGACGGTGAGCAACAACGGGCGCATGGACTTCCTGAGCGTGTCCTGGAGAGCAGCAGAAGGAGACGTGGGCAGTTACTCCGTCACTCTGAGAGATCAGGAGAGAACCCTTCACACCCTCACTGTGTCTAAGTTCAGTACAGAGTGTGTTTTTAAGTCTCTGGTGTCTGGACGTCTCTACAACATCTCCATCAGCACCCGCAGTGGAGAGTATGAAAACCACACCGTGGTTCAGGAGCGCACACGTAAGAGCACTCAACAGCAGTTTGTTCGCCAGTATCTGTTACTGTAATGGAGAAGGTGATACTGCTGTGTATGCAGTGATTGTTTGCAGCTGGTTTTCACATTATTCTATGGTTCTGTACTCTAGAACCTTCCACAGTGTTGAACCCTACAGCCACACACATGGCTCGTGACAACCATCTAAAGGTGTACTGGCGGCACGCAGCTGGAGACTTTGACTACTATCATGTCTCCATCAAGCACAACAACATGTTCCACCAGAACAAGACGGTCCCCAAGAGTCAGAACGAATGTGTGTTCAGTGGGCTGGTACCAGGCAGACTCTACACTGTGATTGTCAGCACATGGAGCGGGAGATATGAGTCTAGTGTCTCAACTTATGGAAGGACATGTGAGTATGTCTGTGCTGGGTTACTTTGATAGCTCTGTAGTTCATTTTACTGTAGTTCTGTAACTGCTACATTTGTATAGCTTGTTGATTTAGTTTGCTGTTGTTCTATGGCTTTATAGTTTAATGTACTTCTGTTGCTCTGTAGTTCAGATTTCCGTTGCTCTGTTAATTTGCTGTAGTTCTTTCACTCTTTCTGTTCTGTAGTTTTCGGTTGTTTTGTAGTTTGCCACATTTCTTTAACTCTGTAGAATTCTTTACTATAATTTTGTAGCACTGTAATAGCACTGTAAAAAAATGTAGTTTTATGTAGTTATGTAACTCTGTAGGTTAGTTAACTGTAATTCTGTTGCTTACCACAGTTCTACAGTAAACTAAACCATAGTATTTTTACTTTACTGTAATTCTGTATTTTGGTTTAGTTATTTGGGTCTGTATAGTTTACAGTATTTATGTGAATGTAGTTTAATTTTAGCTTATGTGGCTTTGTAGTTTAATGTAATTATATCATCCTTAATTTAGTTTCCTGTAGGTATGTAGGACTGTAGTTTAGTTTCACCGCAGTTCTGTAGCTCTGTACGGTAGTTTGCTATTATTATTATGTTCTCCTCTCAGTGCCAGCAGGAGTGCAGAACCTGACGCTAGCTGACAGTGGCACAGAGGATCTGCTGGTGACGTGGGTTTCTGCTCCCGGAGATGTGGATCATTATGAGGTTCAGCTGCTCTTTAATGACATGAAGGTGTTTCCACCGATCACACTGACCAGCAGCACCAACAGATACCTGCTCTCTTCACTCACTCCTGGAAGACTCTACAAAATTGTGGTGTCCACCTTTAGTGGACCAAACCTCAGTGTGCAGTTTATCAAAGGCAGAACAGGTACATCTCACTGTTGCATGTGGACATCTGAGAAATATGGTGGTTTAAAAGTTGAAAAAAATTGATTTTTATTGTAGTTATCTTGCAAAGTCTTAAAGGTTGTGCTATTTTCAACATATTTCAGTTCCCAGTAAAGTGAAGAACATTCATATCAGTAATGCCGGTCAGAGCAGCAGTCTTAGAGTGAACTGGACGCCTGGACAGGGCGATGTGGACCGCTACGCTGTGTCACTGTCCCTGACGGGCGGTCAGGCAGAGGAGAAATCAGTCCCTAAACATGTGAATGAGATCAGTTTCCAGGGTCTATTGCCAGGACAGCAGTACATGATAACCGTTACATCAATCAGCGGATCTCTGATCAATAACAGCACAGCAAAAGGACGAACAGGTAAAGTAACACTTTCACTTATAACTATGTGAGGTGTTTTTACACTGTGTTTGTCATATTGTTGTCTGAGGCTTTATAAAAGAAATCATCAGGTCAAGATGATGCATTGGTGTTTTATTTTTAAGGTTTTAAACACACATGCCCCACAACATCATGATAAAACCAGTGTACTGCACTAAATGTAGGACTGTGTTTTGAATTATTCTGTCAATATAAATATTGAAATATTGTTTAAAGGGGTCATGAACTGCCTTTTTTTTATTAGTTTGTACTGTTCTCTGAGGTCCACTTATAATGTTATCAAGATTTTTTACATAAAAAAACTTCATAATATAGAAGTAATAGGCTATTTTCTGTCATGTTTTTAACCCCCCTCATTGGAGCGCTCTGTTTGGTGGATTGTAGACTCGAAAATAAACACCCACTGCTATGATTGGCTAACAGCTGTGCTTGTTTAACAGCCTACATCCTTCACAGATGGACGCTGCTGTATTTTAGGTTAAAAGCGCATAAATACTCAGTACATATCAAACGAACTGTAATAGGGTTGTTGACATGACGTGGCATTTTCACTGTCACACAAGATAACAATGAATATAATTATTATTGTCATTATTTAAAATGCAGTAAATTTAAACATTTCTTTGTCCTACATGGACCTGTTGTTATAAAAGCTGCCGTGCTATTTAATTTAAAAAAATTTTGAGCCAGAAAGAATTAGATTTCTCAGTTCATGACCCCTTTAAGCCTAAATATTTCTATTTCTAAATTCAGACAGATCAATATAATCCAGTCATCGGTTGCTCTATTACTCATTTCCTCTGCAGTTCCCTCCTCCGTGACTGCTCTACAGGTGGAGAACCAGCGCAGCACGTCTAGTCTGCTGGTGTCATGGCAGGCGGGGCGAGGGGTGTATGACAGCTATCGGCTGCAGCTGCTGGATGACAGAGGAACTCTGGTGTCTAATAGCTCTCAAACTGCAGAAGCCAGCCAGCATAACTTCAGACAGCTCACTCCAGGAAAAAAATATCGCGTCGTGATTCAAACCATCAGCGGAGGAATCAGCAGCAAAGATGTCATTACTGAGGGCAGAACCAGTGTGTAGATTGCCTTTTTTCAGTTTTAACATGGGGTAATACAGCAGATGAATTGGCCTGTTACAGTGTTTGAAAATGTGTTTGTTTTAGGTCCAGCGACTGTTAATAACCTGTCCATCTTAAGCAACACAACCACAAGCCTGTCGTTCCGCTGGGATCTGCCAGACGGGAAGTTTGATGGATTTGATGTTTTTCTGTATACTAGAGATGAAAGCTTGCATGATCAGAAAACGGGAATGGTGAACATGCAGGACTGTTCTTTCCAGAACCTTCAACCTGGGACGCTGTACAAGGTGGTTGTTCTGACCCGCAGTGGAGATCAGACCAATGACACATCCATCTGGGCCCGGACAGGTGAACAACACACACCAATTTGCCAGCACCCAAAATGTAGATTTTTGATTGTAGTTATGATACAGTTCAATGTCAGGCAGCAGTTTAACAGCAAACACAATCATTATATTCATCACAGTTTAAAATGAACAAAGTGAACAAATATTGCAATAAATGCCAAGACTTTAATCAATACCTTGTGTTTTCTGTAGTTCCTGCAGCGGTGACATTCTTGCGTGCCGATAGTAGAAGAAGCTATGAGAGTCTGTGGTTGAGCTGGAAACAGGCCGGGGCTGAAGTGAGCAGCTACACCCTCCTGATCTACAACCCTGATGGGACTCAACAAGCAGAGCAGAGCTTGGGCCCGGAGAGCAGAAGTTACACGTTTCAAAGGCTGGTGTCTGGACGACTTTACCAGGCTGTCGTCCTTACACACAGTGGAGATCTGACCAACAGGGCAACTACTACCGGCAGGACGGGTAAGTGCGTCATACAAAATAATACATGACAACATGAATTTGATGTGTTGACTAGATCTCAAAAGACCTTAAGATGGGTCACAGTTTCCTTCAATGTAACTTTAGAATCAGTACTTAATTGCAGTACTGATTTTAATCGTTGGACTGTTTTCCTTAATTTCTCTGATTTATTGTAGACCCTAGGCCACCAGTCTCATTCTCCTTTGGAGAAATCACTAACACCTCACTGGAGATCACCTGGAGCAGTCCAGAAAACACTGATTATGATGACTTTGACCTTCAGTGGAGCCCCAGGGACCATCTGTCTGTGTTCAACCCCTACCACAGCCCCACATCTGGAAACCGTATTCTGAAAGGCATGTACCCTGGCCGTCAGTACAACATCAGCCTGCGTACAGTCAGCGGTGCTGGAACCAACAACACTACCTACAGCTTTCCAGTCTACAGGAGCATCAGGACAAGTCAGTGGAGCACCAGACACACATGTATAAGAATCAGTTTATCAGTCGTCCCTACAGGAAACAGTATGTCCAAACCAGGCTTTTTAATAATTTAACCAGTATGAGACTGTATGAGACAGTATGAGACCACACCAGAGAGACTACTGGTCACCAGAACCATCTCAGTTTGGACAAGATCATAGTTTAGTAGTTTTACAGCAATCTGTCTGTCTATAGAGACTTGCATGAAGATGGCAAGTGTCTGTTGCAGTGGTTCTCAACTCTGGCCCTCGAGAGCCACTTTCCTGCTAAGTTTAGCTTTAAACTTGATCAAACTCACCTGCTACTTTCTAGTAAAGACCCTGAAGACCTAGATTAGCTTGTTCGGGTGTGTTAGATTAGGGTCAGAGCTCAGCAAACTCTACAGCAAAGTGGATCTCATGGACCAGAGTTGAGAACTTCTGATCTATTGCACAGTAATAAACCATTCAACTACAATAACATATGGCATTATCTGTAGGTACAGTACTAGTATTAGTGGAATGTGTGTTTTTTCCTGTCTTTAGAGCCGGAGCGTGTTCAGAGTCTGCACTGCCGTCCTCAGAACTCTACAGCCATTTGCTGTTCCTGGAGTCCCCCCGAAGCTGACTTTGACTCGTACACCATCGAGTGCTTGAGAAAGGACTCTCAGAGAATGGTGTACTCACAGCGCACAGTCAAAGAGAGCACCGTCTATCTGATCAAAGATCTGGAGCCTCATAAGCAGTACATTGTCTCTGTCAAAGTCATCTCTGACAGCATGACTAGTGAGGCAGTGATGGAGAATGTGGTCACAATGATTGACCGTGAGTTAGGACTTTGTGTTTGATGTAAATCATCAGATAACTTTCTGACAGTAACGTTTACTGAATAGTTCATGTTTTCTCAGGTCCACCTCTGCCCTCATCTTGCGTCGATGAGAATACAGTTCAGGTTACCAAGTCAACCATATTCTTCCAGTTCAACTGCAGCTGGTTCAGTGATATCAACGGTGCTGTGAAATTCTTCACCATCATCGTAACTGAATCTGATGGTTGGAAGACATTTTTCCTCTTTTTTTATGTTATGCACAGATATCTAAGCCAGATAATCTTGTCTCCTTACATGACCAAAGTAATACAATGATCCCTCTCTCTGGTTGGATTCAGACAGTGAACACCAGCAGCCATACCAGCTTCATCCTCTTCCCTCATACCTGGACTACAGATCCAACAGCTCGGTCAAAGCTTATCAGACCAGCTTCTTCCCCAGCCACTGTGACGAGAGCCAGAACACAGTGCAGGAGTTTGAGATTTGTCTGGGATCAGGCATGGAGAGTCTTGGAGGACGATGTGATCAGAAACCATCAACTGATGCATCTCAACGCCAGGCGATCTTCTGTGATGGGCAACTGAAACCCAAGACAGCATACAGGTGATGAATCTGATGCTACAGTCAGACAATAGCCTGTGCTGTCTGTTGCTGGTAGGGTGTTCTTACATGACCAATGTATCCAACATTTAACCAATGTATCAGGAGTTTAAAGGTTTAAATCTATCCTTAATCTCACATTTAGCCCTTGAACACATATGATTATAGGGTGCTCAGATCCGCATTCATGCCATTATTAAGAAACATGTGTAGGTTAAACGCCTTGAACAATGCAGCCTTTGTACTAATATTTGAGCTTGCAGTCAGGTAATTGTTGGTGATGTTTTCAACTGTTTGTCTTGTGATTCTCAGACTCAGTGTTCGAGCGTTTACACAACTTTTTGATGAGAATCATGAGGAGTTTCTCTCTCCGCTCTATACTGATACATACCTGTCCAAGCCCTTCATGACAGATGCAGGTATTACACGTGGCTTGACCATATTAAAGGCCGATTGGTAAGATGTGCTTGTTAATTGTTCATATCTGTGTGTGTTCAGAGCCATTGAGTGGGGTCATCGAAGGGGTCAGTGCTGGACTCTTCCTCATTGCCACCATGGTGGGATTAATTGTTCTGCTGATCTGCAGACAGAAAGTCCACAAAATGTGAGTCCTGTTTTACATTTTGCACTTTACTATAGTCGTCAAAAGTCAATATTTAGTACATCAAATCTAAAACTCAAATACAACATCCTGGACATCCCAGACCCCTTGCACATCTGACTTGAGGGGTTACTGATGATGAATTTGCATGTAGGTAGTGTTAGTGATGATGGGTTTGTGGCAACTGGCTAACGATGACGTTTTATGATAGGGCTATCATCATATCAAATCACTACACGATTATCTTGAACAAAATAATTTACAATACCAATGTTATCGCAGTATCTATAGAAATTTTTGAAAAAATAAATAATGCTATCAGTCAAATTCATCAACATTCAACATTTATTTAGGGTTTTCTCTTCTTTTTTTTTTTGCCAATGAGTTACACTCAAAACATAAGTGTAAGGAGGTGGATAGAGAGACATAACAATACAAAAGTGTACAATAAGAACTAACATCTAACATCTGTTTTTTTTACACAATGCAAAAAAAAAAACTTTTCTCTTTCATTTGTCATCTCCTTGGACTTGATTTTGTGACAGTAGTGGCTATACACTTTACCATCATCTTCCTCTTTATTTATTTTATGACAGGTGGTCAACCAGCGCTAACTGTTATATCACCACCTAATTTTTTGGAGTTTCAACCAGATAGTTACTGATGCTGGATTATTTGCAATATTTTTGTAAAAAAACTTCTTTCATTTGTCATCTCCTTGGACTTGATTTTGTGACAGTAGTGGCTATACACTTTACCATCATCTTCCTCTTTATTTATTGTATGACAGGTGGCAACCAGCGCTAACTGTTATATCACCACCTAATTTTTTTGGAGTTTCAACCAGATAGTTACTGATGCGGGATTATTTGCAATATTTTTGTATGCTTAGTATTAAGACAGTATCAATATTGCAATGTTTAAATATGTTTATTTACATCGATATCAGCATATTGCAACAGTTCCCAAGTCACGTGGCCAGGACCAAGATGGCAGCTTAATGGAAAAACTCAGAGTAACCGTGCACAGTTTAATATAAAAACCCTTAATATACGCTTTTTAGCACAACATTGGCGTTTATAAGTCAAAACCTTCTGTAACTAAACAGTGTGACATCTTTACTCGAGGGTGTAAGACCAGCGTAAAAACAACCTTGTCCAGTGTACCAAGTGAAGTGGAAGCTAACCACATGAATAGCTTAGCTGAAGTTTTAAATGAACTGAAATCGCTTCGAGCAGAGATCGGAACAAAGTTGGATAATATTGACACCTGTCCGACCGATATGGCGAACTCAATGGCTGTGCTGGAAAGCAAAGTGTCAGATGTAAAACGATATGTTTCTTCCAATGCAACACGTATCGAGGAGGCTGAAGGCTGCATTCACGATACAGAAAAGACACTTGAAAAAACAGAAGCTGCACTCGACTCGGCCATCAAACGAATCGCTTACCTCGAATCAAAGACGGATGATCTGGAGAACCGGGGCAGAAGGAAAATCCAACGCTTTCCATGGATTCCAACATAACCCTTGCAAGCTGAGAGTGCTACACAATGGCAAGATTTCAACGCAGCAAGAAGCTGAAAGGTTTTACAAAAGCATCTTACAGCCAAAGTAGAATCTACTGTTGAGTGAACTGCAGAGTTAAACCAACATGTCATAGAAATATTTGATCAGCTGTAGACAACAGCGGACAATCGAGATGTACAGTAGGAGTGAGTTCAAAACATTCAAATACATTTTAGCTGATGGGGGAGGTGTTCTTTTACATTCTATTTATTTATTTATTTATTTTCTTTCTTTCTTTCCTTCATTTTATTTATATTTGATAATATACTAAGATAGTAATTTATGGAGAAAACAAAACTAAAAGGTAGTCTTGATATTAAAATTACAAGTTGGAATGTCTGGGGAATGAGAAAATTGGCCAAACTGAAACAAGTATTGAATAGGATAAAATATCTAAAATCTAAAATAGTTTTTTTTACAATCACATTTGATTGCATCAGATATCCATTGCTTGAGTAAAAGATGGCCAGGCCAAGTATTTCATGCAGCCTTTAGCTCTCATGCATGGGGCGTAGTTATCCTCATTCGAAGAGCACTGCCATTTCAAGTTACGAAAACTATTCAAGATCCTTCTGGAAGACCCAATATTGGACAGATCCACCCAAATTTATACAACTCATATACAAACTAGAAAAACATTAATTGGTTATATGAAGGATCTAAGATTAATTGAAGTTTAGAGAATGCTGAACCCAAATAAAAGAGACTATTCTTGTTAAACATAAAACTCACTCACAAATTAATTATTTTATATTATCTATGGAACTACTGTCTAATGTAAAAGAATACTGGTACAATAGTATAGTAATTAGTGATCATGCAGCAGTATCTATGGAGATTCATTTAGGCAGATTTGAGCATTGTCCTAGATGGAGGTTGCAAACATATTTGTTATAGGACCCGACGTTTATTAAATTTGTGGAGAGTTATATAAATTCAGTATACAGCTGTCTATAAGAGAAACGTAACAGACATACACGTGTAATCACAAGAATTTATTTATTGCAGAAATGTCAAAAAGCAGTACCACAGTAGTCCAAATGACGATGCGTTGCATGAGTGTCCAGATGTGCATGGGTCCTCTGTAACATGTAAATGAGAGCGTCATCTACACCAATATAAGGCTGATATGCAAACTGTAGAGGATCCATTTAAGTTGACTCACTAGCCTTGATGTAAGAGAGGACCTGTCTCTCAAATATCTTCAGAATATGTGAGGTGAGCACTACGGGTCTATAATCGTGGTCAGTAGGGTGTCTCTTCTTGGGAACAGGGACCAGGCAAGATGTTTTCCACAGTCCAGGGACCTTCTGTAAGTGCAGGCTCAGATTAAACAGGCATGTGATAATACCACACAACTGTGCAGAGCAGGTCTTCAGCAGTCTGGGGCTAATACCGTCCGGCCCCATTGCTTTGACCGGCTTCAATCGGTCCAGTTCCCTCTTGACCTGAGATGGTTGAAGAATTACGGGCGGAACTACTGGTGGAGAAGGGAGGAAGGAGAGAGGACTCTGAGGAGATGGGTCAAATGCATAGACTGTATAAAAACATGGACGTAATGTCCGTGACGTCACCCGTAGGTTTCTGAAGAGCGTTTTTGAAGCTCAAAGTGGCCGGAGCCATCTTGGCAGCACGTCACCAGGTTTTGGTCACCACCCAACAGTGAACCCCACCTCTGCCTCATACCTGTGATATTCCTCTCTTCACTCCATCCTGCTGCAGATGTTGCTGCAGTTTTTACCTGTATGCTTCTTTCCCCTCCTTAGTCTTCACCCTCAGTTTTCTTTGAATTTGTTTAACTTTTTCCCTGTCCCCCTCTCTGAAAGCCTTTTTATTCTCATTGAGCAAGGTCTTCAGACTACTAGTTACCCATGGTTTATTATTTGGGAAACAGTGACTTTTTCTGGAGGGCATGATATCATCATTACAGAAATCAATATAATGGGTAATGCATTCTGATAGTCCATCAATGTCATCCCCATAAACCTCACAGAAAACGTCCCAGTCTGTTGTTTCAAAACAGTACTTCAGGGCTTCATCTTTCCCCGGGGGCCAGTATTTTAAAGTTCTTTTGGTGACAGGCAACCTCTTAACAACTGGAATGTAGCAAGGAGAGAGATGTACCATGTCATGGCCTGATCGACCAAGAGGGGACAGAGCAGTGCATTTATATGCATCTTTTACGTTAGCATACAAGAGATCCAAGATCTTATCTCCCCTTGTTGTACAATCAACAAACTGCTTAAATGTGGGCAAAGTCTTAGAGAGAGAGACACACTTGTCATTAACGAGCAGAATAAGCCCCCCTCCTTTCTGCTTACTGCTCGATCCGGCGTCCCTGTCCGCTCGTACCATCCAGAAGCTGGTAAAGCTGGTCAAAACATCAGGGATACTGTCTGTCAACCACGTCTCAAACAGACATACCAGACAGCTGACCTCTCGATACATTTTCTGGCTCCTGACAAGAGTCTCTAGTTCCTTGAGCTTGTTAGTTAAACAGTGAACATTTCCCATAGTGATAGATGGTAGAAATGGTTTAAAAGTCTCTCTCCATGCTCTCTCTCTGTGCCTCTTATTTCTCTTCACCCCAGCTTGAATTCCCCGGTGTCTCCTCAGTAATATTTCCTCAGGGATATCGTGTATGATCGCAAGTTTTGAATATTGTGCCAGGTCAAACAGTTCCTGTTGGGTATATACCAAAAGAGGTGCCTCTTGTCTGTGGTCCTCTACCCAGATGGGTTTTTCAGATGTCAAGTCCATATCAACAATTAATCCACTACTCAAGACTAAAAAAAACACAATCGCTAATAATAAAAACACAATAAAAGCGCTAAAAACACTACAGACACACATACAGCTGCACACTACAGGCTGCCGCCTCACCAGCGCCATCAAGATAATTAATTAGCTATGCCAGTAAGAGTCCATACAGCAAAATCAGGTATTACAATTGGGGGGAAGGATCACTGTAACTCTTTATTTGCAGATGATATTATACAAAAGTCCACTCCAGGACCATTAAAATGTATCTATACTTCAGATATTAAGTCACTGAAGAAGAAAACAAAAAATCATTTTCTTAAAAATACAATTTCAGTTTGGCATCCTGCACATGCCAAGGGGAAGTCGTGGCCTAATGGTTAGAGAGTTGGACTCGTAACCCAAAGGTTGCGGGTTCGAGTCTCGTACCGGCAGGGATTGTAGGTGGGGGGAGTGAATTCAGTCACGTGAATACCACGACTGAGGTGCCCTTGAGCAAGGCACCGAACCCCCAAATGCTCCCTGGGCGCTGCAGCAAAAATGGCTGCCCACTGCTGTGTGTTCACGGTGTGTGTGTGTTCACTGCTGTGTGTGTGCACTTTGGATGGGATAAATGCAGAGCACTAATTTCGAGTATGGGTCACCATACTTGGCCACATGTCACGTCACTTTCACTTTCACTCACTTTCATAAGCATATAGGTGATATGCCAAGACTGTCCCAATTTACTCCTATTTGGGGTAATGAATAATTTATACCAGGTATTAAAGACAGAGATTTTAAGTTATGGAAAACTAGAGGCATTCAGAAAATTATGGATCTATATGAAGATTTATGCAAGAAATATACAATCGTTTTTTTATTTTTATATATTTACAGTTAAAAATTGACGTCATCAAAAGAGGATCAGATAAGCTGTATACCATTTTTATCAAAATTAGAGGAAAAAACTCTTGGAAATTTAGAAGGAAGGTGACATGTATTACAATACATTTTTACTTTACATCGAAACAGACTAAACTCCTAGATTTCATCTCCTTCAAGCCAGAAGAGTTAATGCATTATGCTGGAAGAGTATAGATGCTCCATCCTTGAAAATGTGGAAAAAGGAGATATTGTACTGTATTGGACTGGAGAGACTTATATTAACTTATATTGCTAAGGGCAAGCGGAAAGACTTTGATCAGCTTTTGGAACCATACATGAACATCGTGTAAAATGGAAATGTAGACTTTACTTGACATTGTACTGATTTTTACTTGACATTGTAAACACTGTCTGTTACCAATTTATCTATTTATTTATTTATTTGTATTTATTTATATTTTTTCATTTAGAGTATAAGTTAGTCTGTGTTATTGTTCTTTAGTTTATTTATTTAAGTGTAAGTCTTGTTGGTGTGGGGTTATAAATAAGAAAAGGTCAATAAACATATTGGGGGAAAAAATGGATGAATGCTTCCTGTGTGTTAAGTCAGCCTCCATGTTGGGGCCTGCCACATCAAGGTGTTGAGATCGTGGAATAAACCATATTCAGTCATATTGGGTGGTCAGTCATTGGGGAGAAACCCGTTGGTAATTTGTTTCCTCCTTAGTGCTTTGAGGCTGAGGCCTGCAAGTTCTGGCTCGAGTTCTGGCATGGGATCTGGCCGTGGTGTTGGAAGGGCTAAGTAAAGTTTCATTTGAGTCCATTGAAGAGGTTTCAGAGAAGTTTTCAATACTAAAGATATTTTTTCTTCTGGCAATATCATCTCTTAAAAGAGTAGGAGAGTTCAAGCCCTGTCAGTTACACCATTGCTTTTCTGCACCCGAGGCCGGGTTATGTTCCAAAGGTGCCCACTAATGTGTCACGGCCCATAGTGCTGCAGGCCTTCTGTCTTCCTCCATTTAGAACTCCAGACCAAGAGAAGCTTAATTTGGTGTGTCTAGTCAGAGTGCTGGACTTTTATGTCCACAGAGCTGCCCTGTGGAGGAAAGCTGATCAGTTGTTCGTCTGCTTTGGTCCACTTAAAAAAGGTTTTCCGGCGACCAAGCAGATGTTGAGTAGGTGGATAATTGTGACTATCTCCCTCGCTCATGAGTCCTCTGACCTTTCTTCACCTTTGGGGGTCTGAGCTCACTCAACAAGAAGTAGATTCTACAACTTAGACCTCGGTTCTACAAAGTGCTCTTGTCTTAGTTGTGCTCACCATGAGTTCACACTAGACTGGCATTTGTCAACATGGATATTGTCACTCCCACAGTGTTTTGATGCAGCACGAGTTCCCTGGATAGGGATCGCCTCAGGTTACGACTGTAACCATAGTTCTCTCAAAGGGAATGAGACACTGCGTTGCCTTGCCATACTTCCTACATCCCTGTGAGTGACTTGCTTCGACCTATCAGAAGTTAACACTGTTTGTTCTGGATGTGGTTTTAAGCTTCCTGGTCACCACATAACCCTGCGTAGTGTGTCCGCCATTCCATTGGACTGATTTCACACGTGCTTCCAGACACAATTACGCAAAGGCGTTCCCACAGCGTTTTGATGCACCATCTCATTCTCTCTCAGGGAACCATAGTTACAGTCATAACCTGAGACATTTGTGGTGGTGACAAGCTATTATAGTGGGTTAGAAATGACAGGTTAGCCAGGAAAAATTAGTGGGGACTGAATAATTTTGACCGATATGTAGATACAGGTTTGTGGTGTTTTTGTTTTTGGAATTATACATCAGTGATTATATGCTTGTAATTATGGGTTTATGATGATCAATTTGACTTAGAGCTGATGGGTTTTTGATGATGGTTTAGAGTTAGTGATGATGGACTTTGGCTGAGCAACAGAACAATATCTATTCCGATACAGAAGATGACAAGAATCAGGCAGTAATTAATTAGTGATGACAGGTTTTTGTCTTTACCAGGAGTGCACAAGAGCCTGTGGTCAGAATGAGTTTGAGAAGAGAAAGACAACCCTCAGGAACTCACGTCATTGTTAGAGGGTAAGAGTGACTGCATTTATATTATCATTAAAGGTTACAATAGCAGTTAAATAATAATAATAATAATAATAATATCTTATTACAATGTTATTTTCTTCTGTGTTTTAGGAACCGTCGTGTCTCAAGGTACTGTACTTCATCTCAGAGCAAAACACATCATGTAGATCTGTAACAGAATGCCACATTAAGTCTGAAGCTCTTAATTCACATTATAATTCCAGCTACACATGAACATTGTTTTAGTATTATATTATGTCATATTTCTCCATTATTACGTACTGTAACAGAGGCAGCAGCAGGATATTTTTATAATATTTATGTTGGCTTAAGAAAGCCAACATACTGTTATGCTATATAAACGAATTCTTCTTCTTCTGAGACTAAAATCTCTTCCTAGGGCTTTAATGCTACTAGCACCAAAATTGGCAGAGACCTTGCCCTGGTGTGTTGTTTGTTGCAATATCTTTTCAGACTGATTCATATAAATAATTATCAAAAATAACAAATTTCCCATAGACTTACATTGGCTGAGCAAAAATGCTCCCTCTAGGGCAGTGGTTCTGAATTGCAGTCCTGGGGACCCACTGTTCTGCACATTTTGTATGCATCTCTTATCTGACACACTCAGTTCAGTTCATGGATCTTTCTCCTAACGAGCTGATGATCTGAATCAGGTGTGTTAAATAAGAAAGACATGCAAAATGTGCAGAGCAGGGGGTCCCCAGGACTGGAATTCAGAACCACTGCTCTAGATGTCAATCAGTTAAATTTACTAATAAATGCATACATTTCCTTTATACTGCCAAGCTAAACCAACATATTTGATAGTGACCAGGTCACGTAATGACTGTCTGATGGCCAGAGGCCAGTTTGAAAGACGCTCAGGACAGTTGACTGATCTGTCACTGCTCCGATGCTGCGTCCTCATAACAGTTTATAATTTGCATGTGTTTTTAAGCCTTGCCAGTTAAAGCATTCAAGCGATTTTACACCATTCAAGCATAGGAACACATGAAAGAGATCCAATTCATTCTTACGAGCTGTTTTGTGTGACACAAGAAGCCACGTCGCGTCTTTGACAACGTGTGAGCCCCGAGGCGTGTTCACTTTCTCTTCATTTGGCACTTGAACAGACAAATACTTACAAGATCATGTCAAAATACATTATGTCTTGGTGAATATCATCGAAAACAGTCATTTATTTCTCAAGTGAACATAAACGGTTGAGAAATAAAATGGATGTGGATCATATTGGATTTGTGCATCAAATCGACCGCATTTACCAGCTGCTGTCTGTGTTTTATGTAAAAAAAAAACGAGAAAATCTCTTATTGCTCATGACTGAATAACTTTTGTATCTTTCACAAGGATCACTCTATTTTTGATGACTATGCAATTTTACTTTACATTTGATTATTCAGTTTCTGCACATGAACTCCACACACACCTACTTTTTTGTGCTATTGCTTGTAATTTGTTTATTGTGAAATGTGTCTGGTATTGACAATTGTGTTGTCATAATAAGCTTCTTTATTAGAATACAAAATAGCAAGGGTCTATAGAAAAATATTACTCTAACTGTTAAATATAACTGTTGTACTTTTTTTTTTTTTGTGGGGGGCCAGCTCAAGAACACCTGACAAATGTGTGATCTGGCTCTTTTTGCCTTAAGGCTGCCCATGTTGGCTTTCTTAAGCCAACATCAAATTTTGTTCACAAACTTTAGCCTCTAGTTTTGGTATACTGTGTATTCTTTGAATGAATTCTGAATTTTTTTATTATCTATTGTAAGATAGTGTTGTCTTTTCCAAATACAGTCCCATCAGCATCACACATTTTGAGTCACATTTAGCTAAACTTCGAGCAGACTCCAACTACCTCCTTTCTGAGGAATATGAGGTAAAATATCCTCCATATTTCATAACATGATATTTAGAATGATTCTCATTTCAGAATGAACACATTAAACATTTGTTCTGCTTTCAGGACCTGAAGGATGTTGGTCGTAACCAACCTCAAGACGCAGCGTTATTGCCTGAAAACAGAGGCAAAAATCGCTACAACAATATACTGCCTTGTATGTCTATGCAAATCAGAGTATTTGTTCAAATATCTAATATTATTGTAATATAATTTTTCTAAACTTATTTTGACGTGTTCTTTGAACAGATGATTCTACACGGGTGAAGCTGTCCTATGTTGATGATGACTCCTGCTCAGATTATATTAATGCCAGCTATGTTCCTGTAAGATCTTTGGCCATGGAAGTACATTAATAACAATAGTCAAAAGTCTTTGATACAAAATCATGTTAAACTACTGAACTGAAAGCTAAAAATTATATATAAATAACACATTTTGATTAAAAGCATTTGACACAAAATTTCATCAAAAATACAGTAAATAGTGTACAGTTCACACCAAGTAAAAAAATAGCAACACATATAGTGTAAAGAGTAACTGTTGCTATTCACACAATGTATAAATATGAAGTAATATTCTATTTGTATTAAATGTAAAATATCTAAGCAATGGTGGGCAGAGTTGGCAAAAAATATACTGCAAGTGCATGTTTCCGTCCTAAGGCTTACCAATGACACTTAACTAAACATATCACATTGTTTCTTATAAAGGGCAATAACTTCAGACGGGAGTATATAGCGACTCAGGGTCCTTTGCCCGGCACTAAAGATGATTTCTGGAAGATGGTCTGGGAGCAGAATGTTCACAACATAGTTATGGTGACACAGTGTGTTGAGAAAGGAAGGGTATGTGCATATGATCACACATGATTCTTCTGCTCATGAGGTTCTCTTGGCATTAACTCAATGAATTTGTGTTTGACTCTCGTACTTAGGTGAAGTGTGACCACTACTGGCCATTTGATCAGGAGCCGCTGTACTATGGGGATCTGGTCGTTCAGATGCAGTCAGAATCTGTGCTGCCCGAGTGGACCATCCGAGAATTCAAGATCTGTAATGTGGGTATAATGTCTCTGTTCCTCACAGATGAGTTCTAATAGGAATACACTAATGAGCTGTGTGGCATGTCTGTACAGGAGGAACAGCTGAGCTATTCCCGAGTGGTACGTCAGTTTCACTACACTGTGTGGCCGGATCACGGAGTTCCAGAGATCACGCAGTCGCTCATTCAGTTTGTGCGGACTGTGAGAGACTATATCAACCGGACGCCCTTCTCTGGAGCCACTGTAGTGCACTGCAGGTGGACAGTCATTTTTACAGCACTACCTTGATCATAGTAATGTGTAGTCTAAGGCTGCGTTTACACTTGGCATTAACATGTGACCTGTATCCGGATGTTGTCCACATACACATTGAAAAGACAAGTGTAAACGCACTTCTGATCGGAATGTTATCCGATCAGCGTGTCCTGGTCCAGAGGTAGTCGAGGACGCATTGTGATCGGATCTCAGTGTAATGTAAATGCAATCCAGCCATCGTGTCTGCATTCGCAGGTCGACATCACGCAAAACACCGACCCCTCTCTCGCAAACTGTCAGAAAAAAAGACGGAGAACACCCGTGTGGAGCGCTAGTGAGACTCCTACACTTATCTTTGATTTGTAAAATGTCCTGCGACTGAAAATGCTTTTCAAACGAAAACCCAACACTTCAGGTTGACTTTGCAACGGGCCATTCTCTGCAGACTTATTTAAATATTGCGCGGGGAAGACAGATCCGATCGGTTACCCAGATAGAAAAGTCAGTTGATATTGCCAAGTGTAAACGCACCGTGTTCTGACTGACTGATGATCCGATCTGCTTGATCGGATCACGGTGATCGCATGTTAATGCCAAGTGTAAACGCAGCCTAAGAAACCACTTAGGCCAGGAATGTGGGACTGTCCTGCTGAGTTTAGCTCCATCACTAATCAAACACACCTGAGGAATCTAATCTGTTTCAGGATTTTCTGAAAATTAGAGGCAGGTGTGTTTGATTAGGGATGGAACTAACTCTGCAGGACAGTGGCCCTCCAGGACTGAAGTTGTCCATCCCTGACTTAGGCACTGTCCCAAATGGAAATGTCTGTTCAAATGCTTTCCAATTTCTGTCTTAATTTAATTGACAAACATAACTCAAAGAAAGCAAAGCAGAATATTCTGCCCATGGAGATCTAGTATACTTGCTACTAAGCAACTTTAGCAAATCTATTACATATATCTTCCCCTGAAGGAAGAGTGTTTATCTCTGTGAACTTTTTTTTTTATCCCTGACAGTGCTGGAGTGGGGCGCACCGGAACCTTTATTGCTCTTGACAGAGTCCTTCAGCAGCTGGACACTAGAGACACGGTGGACATCTACAGTGCTGTGTTTGATCTGAGGCTTCATCGCACACACATGGTGCAGACAGAGGTGAGTGCTCATCTGTAAAACACACTACTGCTTTTGAAACGAGAGAATACACACAGACACAAATATATGAAATCAAATTTATTTGTCATGTGTGTTGCACTAGTGCCAGTACTCGTACCTCTACCAGTGCGTGCGAGATGTGCTCCGTGCAAGAAAACTGCGCAGTGAACAGGAGAACCTTTTGTATCCCATCTATGAAAATGTGCATCCGGATTACCATCGAGGTTAGTGTGCTGTTAATGTCTGTATGATGAGCATATCTGTTCAGTCTTATCATATATGTGACCCTGGACCACAAAACCAGTCAATTTTTCGAAATTGAGATTTATACATCATCTGAAAGCTGAATAAATAAGCTTTCCATTGATGTATGGTTTGTTAGGATAGGACAATATTTGGCTGAGATACAACTATTTGAAAATCTGGAATCTGAGGGTGCAAAAAATTCTTAATATTGAGAAAATCACCTTTAAAGTTGTCCAAATGAAGTTCTTAGCAATGCATATTACTAATCAAAAATTAAGTTTTGATATATTTACGGTAGGAAATTTACTAAATATCTTCATGGAACATGATCTACTTAATATCCTAATGATTTTTGGCATAAAAGAAAAATCTATAATTTTGACCCATACAATGTATTGTTGGCTATTGCTACAAATATACTCCAGCGACTTAACACTGCTTTTGTGCTCCAGGCTCACATATATCTTATATCTAACTGATATTTTGTATTTCTTCATATAGATGTGGTCTACTCCAAACGCTGATGTGCAGGTGGATAAAAAAGTGGCCAAACACTTTATTGTCAAACACATATGTAAAAATTTATTTGAAAATGAATTTAAGGTAATATGCTATGTGTATGCCTAGATGTAACAGAATTATATCATGTACATATATTATTCAATATTAATTCAGAGTTTATGTTAATTCTTGCATAATATAATGTGCAACACTAATTAAATGTTGTAGCTAATTTTATATTAATAAAAGGTATTACAAAACAACAGTGTCATCTGTTTTCCTGTACCATGTAGATGAAAGGGTTATATAGTCAAGTCACCTTTATTTCTATAGAACTTTATACAATACAGATAGTGTCAAAGCAGCTTTACAGAGATGCAGAATCCGTTCAGATTCAGATATAAAGCAGCTCTAAAAGACAATACTGTCATTATTTAGCTTAAGTCAGGTTAATGTTGGTTTTGTTCAAATCAAAGTTAATCATTCAGCTGTAAACAGTTCTTCAAAAAGCAGTAGTGTTGTTGTTCAGATCCAGTTTGTTAAACATGAATTCAATTAAGTTCAATACCGGTGTCGATGTTGCAAGATGCAAGCAAAAGCAGCTCTACAGAACACGATAGTGCCGTCATCCATCTTAATTTAGTTCAAGTTTTGTTCTCATCCGATGGTGTCAGTCAGTCCAATCATAGAAAAATTACTGAAAGTTAAGCGTCTTTCAGACCCCAACTAAGCAAGCCAGTGTTGGTTCAGTTCAGATCAATAACAGTGTGAAGTTCATCAGTCTGAAAAGAGTTCAGTTCAGCTATAGACCGTTCAACAAACAGCAGTGTCATTTTTCAGCTGTTGATTCAGTTAAATTCAGTAGTGTTAATGTTGTAAGATGTGATGCTGTACAGCAGAAGCTCTACAGTGACGTCATCCAGCTTAATTTACAACCCCAATTCCAGAAAAGTTGGGATGTATTTGAAATGCCATAAAATCAAGAATATTCTATTTGTTCATTCTCTTTAACCTTTATTTAATTGGCTAAAGTACAAAGAACAAAATTCAAATGTTTTCACTGGCCAACTTAATTTTATTTTGTAAATTTAAAAAAATGTTGATGGCTGCAACACACTACAAAAAAGTTGGGACAGAGGCATGTTTAACACTGTGTCGCATCACCTTTCCTTTTAATTGCAATGTTTCATTGTTTGAGAATTGAGTATACTAATTGTTAAAGTCTTGCAAGCAAAATTTTGGTCCAATCTCGTCTGTGATCATCATTGTCTTATTCTCCTTTTCATGACTGGTCATATATTTTCAATAGGAGACAGCTCTGGACTGCAGTCCAGCACATTCGCTCTGTCTACGAAGCTACGCTGTCGTAGCACATGCAGAATGAGAGCTGCCATTGTCTTGATCTAATAACCATTAACTTCCTATGAAAGACATCATCTTGATGGCAGTATTTGTCTATGTACAATTAAAAAAATATATGCCTCCATGTTAATGGTACCTTCGCACATATTCCAGTCACCCATGCTCTGATAAACCCCCATACCATGACAGATGTTTGCTTCTTCTGTCACTGATGAAAGTCTGGATGGTTCCTTTGATCTTTGGGACTGAGAACTCGACGTCCATTTTTTTCAGAAATAAGTTGAAATGTTGACTCATTTGACCACAGCACACATTTCCACTGTCTTTTTGACTATCTGAGATATATTAGACATATAATATGGGCATAAATCTTGATTTCCTAAACCAGAATCTCCTTTGTCCAGTTCCACCTTGGAGTATAGAAAAGTTATATATCAATTAGGAACTGACCTGCAATAAGAAGAGTGAAACCTACCCGTATATATACCGTCAACATGTTTTGACATAAGAAGCCTTTATCCCAGTCATAATCCTATATACACTGATGGATCAAAAATGGATAACCATGTTATCTGCAGCAATAGTAAGCGGTCATCAACACTATGGCTTTCATATCCCAGACTACTGTTCCATCTTTACAGCAGAAGTCCAAGCTCTATTACTTGCTCTTGGTCATATTGAAAAAGCAAAAGAAAGAAACGTCATAGCGTTCACTGACTCAAAATCCTGTTTGCAAGTTCTGGAATCTTTGAAAACAAATCATCCAATAATTGTTGACATATTCATCAAAGCAAATCAGTTGTGGAGACTCAATTATGATATTGTTTTCTGCTGGATTCCAGGACATAGTGGAATTATTGGAAACGAACAAGCTGACATAGCAAGCTCTTACAGAAAATGTAAATGAATGCCAAATCCCACCTTCTGATGTGAAGCCAGTAATCAACAGATACATATTGGAGAAATGGAGAGCGGAATGGGAAGAGCTTTGATTGCAAAGACAGAAATGCTCCTTTTATACAGAAACATGATCCACTCACCTATTATCAATTCACCTGCTTGCTGTGAACTGTTTCAAAAACACTTTAATTTGGATATTCTATAACCTTTTCACTTTTATTTTGCCTCTGTAATGACTTTTTTGGAGCGTGTTGCAGCCATCAAAATCTAAATTTGTTTATATTTACAAAATACAGCAGCCAATAAAACACTAGCAAAGTAAAGGGGTAATGTTGTGACTCAACTATTATGAGGATGATAGCTGTATTTTAAGGTTCAGGTATGCTTGGCAAGAATGCATTTCTTTATTTCTTTTACATATGTTTTCAAACCTTATAAGTGTGTGTGAAAGGGAAGTTGTGTTTGAAAAAATAAAACTGTGACAAGAAGAAAACAAGACAGAAATACCATAATGAGTTTTTATTTAAGAATAGAAGTTGTTCCAGTGTTTTAGCATTCAAACTCTTTCTTTTTTTGCATAGAACTTCTCCTGCTTTAGACAAAAACTTGTTCACATGGCACAGATGTACAGTAGCTGGTATTGACAAGTATTTTTTGGCAAGGTGGAAAAGATGAGGTGTTTCAAAAACAGTTTAATTTGGATATTCTATAACCTTTTCACTTTTATTTTGCCTCTGTAATGACTTTTTTGGAGCGTGTTGCAGCCATCAAAATCTAAATTTGTTTATATTTACAAAATACAGCAGCCAATAAAACACTAGCAAAGTAAAGGGGTAATGTTGTGACTCAACTATTATGAGGATGATAGCTGTATTTTAAGGTTCAGGTATGCTTGGCAAGAATGCATTTCTTTATTTCTTTTACATATGTTTTCAAACCTTATAAGTGTGTGTGAAAGGGAAGTTGTGTTTGAAAAAATAAAACTGTGACAAGAAGAAAACAAGACAGAAATACCATAATGAGTTTTTATTTAAGAATAGAAGTTGTTCCAGTGTTTTAGCATTCAAACTCTTTCTTTTTTTGCATAGAACTTCTCCTGCTTTAGACAAAAACTTGTTCACATGGCACAGATGTACAGTAGCTGGTATTGACAAGTATTTTTTGGCAAGGTGGAAAAGATGAGGGAAGAAAGTTTGATGTTTTGCCCAAAACTCCAGTGGATCACTTGTTCCGTTAACATATGGTGTGTTTAAGTATCGCTGTACTTCAACCGTTGCATCTGCAGTGACACTGTGGACCTTTTGTGTTTCACTTATTTTATTATTCAAGTGTCCATAGGTTCTCCTCTCCATCTCCCAGTCCTCCTGCTGAATTTGTTGCTGCTGAAGTAGATGGCTGTATAGGTAATACAGTCCTTTACTGCAGCAACAGCGTTGACTGCACTGCCAAAAGCAAGTGTCTTAAATCTGGGATCCAAAAGGGTGGCCTTGGCCAACATCCTTAACAATTCTATAGCTCCAAAGTGTTGTTTTAGGTTTGTGATCAAGTTGTTTGTGAGGTCAATGCCTGTTGTTGATGTCAGTTTGTGTGCCTTTTCATTGATTTTATGAAAAGGCATTCTGACAATAGTTATGATCTTTGAAGCTGTGACCACTTTCTCAGCGGAGAGTTCAACTGTTGCATGATTGAAGGCTGAAAGGGCTTGAAGACACAAAATGTGCTGTTCCACCTAGTTTCCACCTCCTGAATCAGCTTCTTTTTGGCCTGCCATCATGCTGCTGGATTGCAGACAGTTTCTCAGTGGCACTGGTGCTGGATCTGAACGAGGTAGCCTCCAGCACCTTCTCTTTTGTCACTTCATACATTGCAGTGACCATGTCCTTCAGCGCATGCCTTGTGGGAAGCACATATGCTGGGCCAAGCTTCTTTACAAAAGCCCTGAAGCCCTCATCCTCCACCACTAAAAATGGCTGCAAATCCTTGATTATCATGTCCACTAGAGCTTCATCAATGTCCTTTTGCCTTGCTGAAAAAAAAGTGACATTTAACTGTATGCTGTGTGATTGTCATTTATAATATACAGCGTTTTTAGGCTTTGAGGACTTCCAATATTATCCTACCACTTTTGGTAATTAGAGGCCCAGAAGATCTGGTGTGAAAATGTATACTTAACTTGTCTAGGTACACCAGATGTTTCAGCTCCACCAGATGCATGCCCATCAACATTGAGCAACATTGATGAGTGTAACAAAGTTTGTAGTTCGGGAAGAAGGAGGCGGGAACCAGCGAACGCTCAAAGAAAACTTTAATAAAATAAATAAACACAAAATAGCGCGACAGCCCCTCGCGGACGACTGTCGCGCACAAACAGAACCAAAACTCAAAATAAAATCCAGGCCTGGTCCTCTCTCGTCCAACATTGTCGTCACTCCTCCTTTTATCCTTCCGGAGCTCCTCCGTGGGACTCGAGACCAGTGAATGGCGCAGGTGCATTAGCATGCATTAGCATATACTCCACCGGCCTCGCTCCGTTCCCCCGCCCCTCTCGTCACAGTGAGGTATCATTGTGGCATGTCAAGTGCTGATCACAAACCATACACCTCACTGTATTGTTTTCTAATTCTCAAAGTGTTCCCAAACAATAGACCTTGGTCTCTTTATTCCACTCATTTTACAATATATTTCAAATGCCAAATTATCCACTTTCCGCCAACTCAACAACCCACAACATCTGGCCTCTTATTGTTTGTTTTTATAGTAAAAATCTAGCGGGATTTCATGTCATGTGACTAACTGGGCCTCCTGCACTGAGAACTGAACATTAATCAGTACAAAAACCAGTGGGGGGGGGGGTTCCACAAACAAACTGAATCACACTAACAAACTGAATCACACTGTTAATGCAGTCAGCAGGACTGAATGCAATTGTTAAATAACCATTTAAAAAGTGACATAATAATGTATCATTATTGCTTAGCTA